ATCTATCTATCTATCTATCTATCTATCTATCTATCTATCTATCTATCTATCTATCTATCTAGCTTTCTGGCCCTGTGGCTCCTGCTCTAAGCTACATTCTCTGCACTCTTTTTCAGCGGACCCTTCCTTGCACCCCTTCTCTCGCATATCTAAATACCCGCTATTTCTGTATTCGTTCTCTGCTGCCTCTCTGTATTGCCTCTCATTTCACCCCTTCTTTGTACCCCATTCTTTGCACCCTTTGGCATGCCCTGCTCTCAGCCTCTTCTCCACAGCTCCTTTCTCATCTGATTTGCTTTTAGTGCTGTCCCGACTTTCTTTACGCAGGCTTTGTCTTTTCTGGCTCAGTAAAAACTGTTCAGTTGCAGGGTGGATTTAGCTGTTCTTGCGTGTGGGTTTAGCTGCCTGTTGGTTGTATGCAGGTTGATGTGAATATTTTCACAATATCTTGTTAAATGGGAGTCCTTTTTATTTTATCTTTTTTTTTTTTGAGATATGCTTTTTCTGTGTACCTTGGCTGTCCTGGACTCACGTTGTAGACCAGGCTGGCCTCAAACTCACAGAGATCCACCTGCCTCTATCTCCCCAAGTGCTGGGATTGCAGGTATGCACCATTGTGCCAGGCAAGTGGGAGTCTTGAACACAGTGGGCATATTCCAAATTTCATGCTTTTTCAGAGTAAAGCAAAGAGGGAACAAACAACTCACCTCACTGAACAGGAAAAACACAAAGATACAAGGCCCCAAGTGAAGTGGGACCCTCTCAGTCTTAGACAACAACTCAAGTATTTATTTATTTATTTATTTATTTATTTATTTATTTATTTATTTATTTATGATCCAAGGAAAGCTAAAATCCTAAAGGTTCTTCTGAACATGATCGGCATGCTCTCCTCCTAGGCTGTTTCAAAGCACAGAAGTGAACATTGCTTCTAAAATGGTGTCATATAGTGATACAAGCCAGTTCCCCACCAGAAACAGATGAATTACTTTCTTTTTTTCTTTTGTGACAGGGTTTGTCTGTGTAGCCCTGGCTGTTCTGGACTCAATTTGTAGACCTGGATGGCCTCGAACTCACAGAGATCTGTCTTCCTCTTTCTCCCAGAGTGTTGGGTTTAAAGGCATGCACCACTACTTCCTGGCACAGATGAGTTCCTTAAGTCATATGCTTTGGTCTTTGTTTCCTTGCTTCTTCTGCAGATTTATGTTCTGCACTTTTCATCCTTCCCTGTTGGTCCCAGGAACTGGTGAAAGCAGTGAAGACTTTAGTGCTCTCCTCCAAAGTGGAGAGAAGAGGAGAACAAATATTTATTAAGCACTGGGTGCTAAACCGTCTGTGGATAAATCAGCAATGAATAAAGCATCTGACCTTATTAAACTTAGATTCTATTTTTAAAAATAATACACTTATTATTAATTAACTAAGTGTGTGTGTGTATCTGTGTGTGTGTGTGTGTGTGTGTGTGTTGGAATGTGGAGGTCAGAGGACAACTTGTAGGAGTTGATCTCTTTTTGTAATGTGGATCCTGAGGATTGAACTTAGATTGGCAGGCTTGTCAGCAAGTACTTTTACCCACTGAGTTGTCGAACTGGCCCTTAAGCATGTATTCTAATGGGATGTCATTAGATAATTATATTTTGTGCTATGTCAAAAACAGAAATAACTTTCATGAAGAAAAATAAAATGATAGCTGATATAGACTGCTAGAAAGAGGCGCTGCATTTTTAAATATAGTGGTTTTCAAGAACTTCTCTTAGAAGTCGCATATTCATAAGTTACAAGAGTTGGCATGGTGGCACACACCTTTAATCCCAGTATTTGGGAAGCAGAGGCAGGTGGATCTCTATGAGTTTAAGGCCAACCTGGTTTACAAAGCGAATCCAGTACAATCAGGGCTGTTACAGAGAAAAACCCTGTTTCAAAAAAAAAAAAAAAAAGAAAAAGAAAAAAAGAAAAAAAAAAAAGAGTTGCAGAGTTGCTAGAGTATGTCATAGGAAAAATCTGCACTAAGAAAACAAGTAAAAAGATAATACTTGTTTTCTGTTGGAGAAAGGCTTTGTAGTTAAAGAGTAGATGAAGTTTAAATGTTACGGTGGGGGGAGTAAGACTTTGTAAAGATTAGGTTTTTCTCTAAATGAGGCAGACATTGCAAGACTTTGAGTAGATGAACCTATGAATTGCTTTGGCCACTGAATTTAAAATAGACCTTAAATTTGGCATGGAAGAACACATTTATAAGCAACCCCAGAATCTGGCAGGTAGAAGGAGGAGGATCAGTTTTCAGTGACTAGCAAGTTCAAGGACAATCTGGACTACCTGAGAACCTGCCTCAAAAACTAACAAACAAGTAAACAAGCAAATTACCAAACACTGTAAGCAGGAAAAATAGAATTAAGAAGATCAATTAAAGGTTTCCTGCAATTTTGTGAGTGGCAGTGGAGATAAATCTTATATATATTTTAAAGTTGTTTCTGAGTACAAATAAAGAAGTAATTGAGGAACAGAAAGTTAACGGAAAGTATTGTGCTGGGAGAAGAGCTAAGGTCATTTGTTAACATACCTATCAGTACTTCGCACATTTTTCTTACTTAATCTTCACACTAGCTCTACAAATGACATTACCCCTATTTTAGAGATAGAAAGACTGAGGCTATGAATAATTCCATTACTTATATCCTGAGACAAACTACTCCATGTGATATTTGTGATAATATGTTAGGGCAGAGGGACATGGAGGGCCTTTATAAATCCAATAACAGGGCATGGTGGCTCATTCCTGTAATCCCAGCCTTTGGAAGGCTGAGGTAGATGATTGCCACAAATTTAAGACCCGCCTAAATGTGTAATGAGCTCAGGCCAGCCTGGGCTACACAGTGAGATCCTCTCCCTCCTCCCGAAAAAAAAAATGAAAGAAAGAAAGAAAGAACGAAAGAAAGAAGAGGTGGAGAGGTTAGGGAGGGAAGGAGAAAGAGGAGAGAGAGGGAAAGAAGATAAGCCAACGAATCTAGTGTTACATATGAGGAGCCAGAGGGCTCTAGTGGGCAAGATTTTAAGGGACTGAAGGACAGAACTACGATTGAAAAACAGGTCTGTTGACTATCAGATTAGCAATCTCTTCACTAAAAAGTTATTGTTACATATCTACTCTCCTGTGCCTGAATGATCTCCACAATCTTCAAGTTGTGGAAAGAAAAAAAAAAAAAACCTTCAGTTTCTCTCTATTTCACAAGACTCAGCTCCAATAGCCAACCCCTCCCTAAAGCCTCCTGGAGCAATCCTTCTCTTAGAAAGTTATCTCCCTTTTGTTTGAGTCCCATTAGAGACTCCTGTCCCTAAAGGGCTGTCAGTGTTTGATCTGCTTCCGAGTTGTTTGAAGTCTTATCTGACTTTTTTTTGGGATTTGAGCACTTTGAGGGAACATGGGCTGATGAGTTTGTATCCAGTAGAATTACTCAGCAGTTTTGAAAAATATTTCTGTACTGAATCAGTAGACAACCTTTGGATAGTGAAAGGACATTTGAGTGGCGAATTGGAAAGCATGGTGACTCAGTGACCCAGCTGCAGAGAGTAAGTGGTAAGAATACTGCCCCGTGCTTGCCAGTATTCCACTTCACAATTCTCCAGAGGCTGTGTGTGT